TTAAACTTGTCTATTTTTAATTTCAAATAAAAAAATAGTAATTTTTTAATGAGCGTGTCATGCAGTGTGTTAAACCAGAGTATGTATCAATCACTGTCCATTTCTAAAATAAAGACAATTTTATAGTAACAAACTAATATAAATGCACAAAGCAGTGACATAAAACAACTTACTTTTCTCTTGTCATAATGAAATTGAATTGGAACTATTTTTCATCTTATTGTATACGGTTAATCGTTGAAAGTATCTTGGACCAAAACAAATTTAAAGATAAATGAGACTTGGAGAAAGGGGAATCTCTAGATGAATGACTTCAATTGCAATAAATTTGTTAGATATGCTTATGTTATGATTTAGAAAATCATATAATTATAAATAATTGTAATGCACATATTACATGTTGTTCATACAATAAAAAGAGACTTATTATAACAAATTGACAAGAACTCCCAAATTTAAAGTAACAATATTTAACAACATACCTTTTTTCTTATTTGAATTTGAATTATTATGTATTTTATGGTATAAAGTTAATCGTTGAAGTATAATAGAACAAAGTGAGTCTTAAGATGAATGAGTCTTGGAGCAAAGGGAATCTTCATAAGATGACTCTAATCACAACAAATTTGTTAGATATGCTTATGTCATGATTTAGATAATTCCATAATTATAAATAATTATAATGCGCATATCGTGTGTCATTTCTAAATGAAAGACAATTTTAATATAATGAAATAACATGAATGCCCAAAGTAGTGATATTAGTCAATTTAACTTTCGCATCATAATACATTAACTTAGAACCATACATCTTACATGTTGTTGTATATAGTTAATTGTTAAAAATATCTTGGACCAGAACAAATCTTAGGATAAATGAGACTAGGAGAAAAGGAAATCCTCTTATGAATGATTCTAATTACAATAAATTTGTTATATATACTTATGTCATAATTTCAACAATCATAGAATTATAAATAACTATGATATATACATTTTTTTATTATTTCTATAATAAAAACAGTTTTTCTATAAAAGAACTAACATAAATATACAAATTACAAATTAATGATGTAAAACAACTTTTCTGTTGCCTGTAAATAAAATACAATTAGAACTATCCTCAATAAAACACTATGGTCTATTTTTTGCTGGAAAAATAAACTACTTTAGATTGAAACAAATCAAAAAGAAGCCAAATCTATGTTCATAACATCGACATGGACCGCCAAACACGACCTTAAACGTATTGCATTGCTTCCGGTAGATATCCCTTGCGCCCCAAATATGATAATAACGAACTAAATAAAGCCATTAGAACCAATGTCCTACTAACTTAAATAGAAAGAGTTTGGTTCTCTTAAATAACGTATCAAACTCAAATTTTATAAAAAAAAAAATAAGCACTAAAAAAATTTATTTTTTTATATAAAATCTGACGTGATTTTACTCTAAATGAATTAAGATCCACTATAAAGAGCCATTAGAAAAATAGGACAACTTGCCACGTGAAATCCAAAATAAATCTATCAATTTTATCTTCAGAAATATTTGATCTTGTTTAATTTAGTTATTAAAAGTAATAAATAACCAAAAAAATAATTAATATTTATTATTTTATTAATTAAAATTAATTTATAATCAAAAGTTTCTAGAAATCTATTTAAGAAAATGAACCATAAATTAATAAAATATTAATTAAATTATGTAATCCTAATATAATATTACGTGATTATAACTATACAAAAAAAATTCAACACAAGTTAATCAGTTTTGATAATACACTAGTTTTAGGCCTATCTAATCTGATGGGTACTTTGAAAAAAACTTCTTGGCCGATTAACATCAGACAAACCTCGAATATTAGGAGTGATGAGCACGGCACTTCCATTTGCACCCAAATAACAATAATAATAATAAAAAAACAACAACACCAACAACTTAACTACATGTCTTCAGACATAATTTGCGTATATTCTTATCACTTGGGTTTCCCTCAATTAATTAATTAGGGTATTGTAGGTCAACTGACGTGGAAAATTCTTTTTGATTGAACAAGAGAAATAAATTTAATTTAGTATACACAAGCTAATTCGAAGTACAATCTCCATGTAATAAGCTAAATATATACAAAACACTGCACACATTTACATAAAAAACACTGCATACGAGAACTCCCAATTAGAGTAAATGGTAGCTCCTCATAAAGGATTTCTCATAAATCTCGGGTTCGAGACCACTCCATTCTCCCCTCCTCCACAATGTAACTATGTTCAAAAAAAAAGAAAAAACACTGCACACATAAATTAAAAAAATTGAAAAAAAATCCACAAAATCCAACTATACATGAGTTGAACTCGTCATTTTTTTAGTTTATTTGGTTATAGAGTTAATTT